TAGTTGCTAGTACAGTAAAAATTAAAATAATTAAATATAACCAATACTGATAAAAAGAACTATGCGTAGATATCTAAAATCTGATGCAACTCCTCTTTCACCTGAAGCATACTGTGATATTATAGATGCTAAAGGTAAAAAAGAATATATCATCGATTTTAGCTAAAAAATACAAAATATCATCATGGAGAATATATCAAATCTGGCGAGAACAGGAGTATCCTCCTGATGTTAGCTTGACTAACCAAAATAATGATTGGGATAAAGAAATTGAACGCATATATAATTTATATGCCGAACTTCCTAACGAACGAATGGATGAATTTTTCGGCTAAGCCATTGTAACAAATTTTCCAAGTGAAATTTATTTTTGAAGGATAGATAGTACCTATACTATATATAGTACTGATGCTCCTAATACTTTCGATACTTTGCGTATTACTGATACTTTGCATAGATTCAATAATTTACATATATTTTTTACTAATATCACGGATAGAGCCCGTAATGTGCATACCATTGATGCTTTCAATACTCTGCATACTACGCATAGTATTAATATTTTACGTACACATTTTTTATTAATAGTATGAAAATCTGATTGACTACCAATACTATGATCAACCCACCACCTAGAAAGTATATGCGCTCCGATGCTACAAAATTATCTTCTGCAGATTATGAAGATATCATGCAATACCGAGATATGAAGTTCAAGCCTCTGGATCAATTAAGAAAGAAATTCCATGTATCAACTTCTCGTTTATATCAGATTTGGAGAAGGCAGAAGGTAAGGAGGGTCGAATAGAACTATTCAGCAGTCTCGCTTTCTTATCCAAGTACAAATGTTATAGATAAACAGGATGTACCAGAGGTTTCAGTAGAATGCAATGTTATTTCTGGGTGTAAGGTAAAAAAGATAGGAAAGAAACCAAAGTCCAAATCCGTTAGAATCTCTGAACCATCTATTACCTAGAATCAGCCAACGTCTATAAGCCCAGAGGGTTCTGAAGGTTTAAATATTAGCAGAGAGGATCTGAATGCATTTTATGAAAAAGAAGCTA